CGTGATCCACCCGCCTCGGCCTCCCAAAGTGCTGGGATTACAGGCTTGAGCCACCACGCCCGGCCTAGCGATTGTAATTCTTAACATAGTTCCAGCTTAGGGGAAGGCCTGGAAGGAGGGTAGAGGGACCAAGGAGAAACTCTTTTATCCAAAGCCCTATTAATTCCCCATCCCCAGTGCTGCCTATTTGCGCCTCTTCTGCCCACTCAGTTCTGTTCCACCTGCCCCTTTACTTTTTTTTTTTTTTTTTTTTTTTGAGACAGACAGAGTCCTGCTCTGTTTGCCTGGCTGGAGTGTAGTGGTGTGATCCTGGCTCATTGCAACTTCTGTTTTCCAGTTTCAAGCAGTTCTCCTGCCTCAGCCGCCTGAGTAGCTGGGACTACAGGCACACACCACCATGCCTGGTTAATTTTTTTTTTTGTATTTTTGGTAGAGACGGTGTTTCACCATGTTGGCCAGGATGGTCTCGATCTCTTGACCTTGTGATCCACCTGCCTCAGCCTCCCAAAGTGCTGGGATTACAGGCGTGAGCTACCGTGCCCGGCCCCCTTTACTTCTTAAGCAGCATCCTCATCCTTCTTCCTCTTCACCTCTTATGTTGAAACTCCTGTTTTCTCATAATCACACTGAATGTGCTCATTGGTTGGTTGATTTTTAAAAGTCTAGTTTCAATCCATTTAATTGCAGCCCTGCAAAGATTCTATCCATGTGGTTTTTTGGAAATAGGATAAGTTAGTAGTTAGTATAGAGAGTTCTCCCACTTACAAATGGAAAAGAGCCTGTACCTTTCATATTCATAGAAAGTTTTCCTGCATTCAAAGACTTGTCACTGGACCCAAGCCACATGTGTAGTTGGAGTCAACATGACTATCACCAGACTCTGCTTATAATCCTTCTATACCCTTGTCTAAGGGAATTCAACCCCACATTTAAATCTTGCCGGCTTCATAGTTGTTGGCTTTGCTGTGGCCTACCCTCCCTATTTTCATTCAGATTCAAGCCCCGGACAAAATGCATTGAGAGTCTAACCCTCTCCATCCCTCTGCCTCTCCAGCGGATGCAGTGGTGCAGTATGACGTGGAGCTGATAGCATTGATCCGAGCCAACTACTGGCTAAAGCTGGTGAAGGGCATTTTGCCTCTAGTAGGGATGGCCATGGTGCCAGCCCTCCTGGGCCTCATTGGGTATCACCTATACAGAAAGGCCAACAGACCGAAAGTCTCCAAAAAGAAGCTCAAGGAAGAGAAACGAAACAAGAGCAAAAAGAAATAATAAATAATACATTAAAAAAAAACTTCTTTGCATTCTTCATCTGATACTTTCTGAGACTGCCTTTGAAAGTGAGAATGAGGTAAAGAGCTGAGGAAAAAGGCATTCTGAGTTGCATCTTGCCTGGCCTGGGGGTGGTAGTTGTAGGCCCTGGATCACCTCTTCCCCTGGCCTCCCCTTGCTATCCTAACTGACTTTAAGGACCTGGTCTTGAGTCTTTCCATAGGATCTCTAGGTCCTTAAGGTATGGGTTTTGGCTCCCATGGTGCCCTGATTCTGAGGAGCGATGCTTAATTGAGCAGTGACACTCCTGGTAGTTGCCTAGCTGTTCTTTCTATTCCCTGGGACCACAGTGTTCCTAGTGTCCTCAGAGTGGACTGCTCTGTCCAATATGCAAAAGATATGGCCGGGCGCGGTGGCTCACGCCTGTAATCCTAGCACTTTGGTTTGGGAGGCCGAGGTGGGTGGATCACCTGAGGTCAGGAGTTCAAGACCAGCCTGGCCATCATGGTGAAACCCCATCTTTAAAAAAAAAAAAAAAAAAAAAAAGATATAAGGAGCTCATAAACTCCATGGAAATTTTTAATAGCAATGTCCCTACATCTCTCTCTCAAAAAAAAAATAGGGATTGAAAAGATTTTTTTCCCCCTTAGATCACACAGTGTGGAAGATCACGTGGGCTGCTTCAGTGATATTTTAAGTGGTTGGATGTTGTTTATCACCTGGATGGGCCATAGGTGTAGACGAGGGCTGGGGTAAGTTGCTTCGATGGTTGACTATGAAGAGTGGGTTGAGCTGGCTCAGCACTTCGTCACTCACTGAGATGCCATCCAAGTACTGCTTCAGCATCCCCCGCAGCTTCCCATTGATATCTAGCAGCTGGGCTCGTCTGTGTTGGAGGCTCAGTTGCTCCAGTTTCACTTTGTTGTACCTTTTCCAGAAATTCTCCATCCCTATGTAATCCATGATCACCTGGAGTAGAGTTATAGGGAGAAAGTGTGCATCAAGACCCATTAGCAAATGCTGCCCAATGCCCCACCATCCCCCAGCCTTTACCTTGGCGAGCTCCTCAGTAAGCTCTTCTAAATTATTCTCCTCAATCCCCTCCTGCTCCTTAGGAGTCAACACTGATGAATAAAAAGGCAGCACTTTTTCTTCCTCAGTTTCAAATTTCCTACATATTTCAGCAAGTTTAAGGATCTTTTCACCCTATTTGAAGCAGGAAGAGAGTTTATGTTAAGAAGGAGGGTAGAGCCGGGCGCGGTGGCTCACGCCTGTAATCCCAGCACTTTGGGAGGCCGAGGCGGGTGGATCACGAGGTCAAGAGATCGAGACCATCCTGGTCAACACGGTGAAACCCCGTCTCTACTAAAACTACAAAAAATTAGCTGGGCATGGTGGTGCGTGCCTGTAATCCCAGCTACTCAGGAGGCTGAGGCAGGAGAATTGCCTGAACCCAGGAGGCGGAGGTTGCGGTGAGCCGAGATCGCGCCATTGCACTCCAGCCTGGGTAACATGAGTGAAACTCCGTCTCAAAAAAAAAAAAAAAAAAAAAAAAGAAGGAGGGTAGAGAGGGAAGCTAGTGGAATTGGTTCCCCTGTTTGAACCCAGGAAAGCTACTCATCCAAGTGGGAGACAACAGCAATAAATACATATAGCAAATAGAGGTTACCATGAAACACACTATTCCAACCATTTTTTTTAAAATCATTCATTATTAATTTTTCTTTCTTTTTTTTTTTTTTTTTTTTTTGGTCTCCCTATGTTGCCCAGGCTGGTCTCAAACTCTTGGGCTCGAGCAGTCCTCCCACCTTGGCTTCCCAAAGTGCTGGGATTACAGGCATGAGCCACCACGCCTGGCCAATTCGTTTTCATTTAAAATGTAGACCGAGCACAGTGGCTCATGCCTGTAATCCCAGCACTTTGGGAAGCCGAGGTAGGTGGATCACGGAGGTCAGGAGTTTGAGACCATCCTAGCCAACATGGTGAAACCCTGGCTCCACTAAAAATAAAAAATTAGCTGACAGTGATAGTGTGCACCTGTAAAACAATCTACTCAGGAGGCTGAGGCAGGAGAATCACTTGAACTTGGGAGGCAGAGGTTGCAATTAGCCAAGATTACGCCACTGCACTCCAGCTGGGGCAAAAGAGTGAGACTTTGTCTCAAAAAAAAAAAAAAAAATTAATTAACTGGATGTGGTGGCACATGCCTGTAGTCCCAGCTACTCAGGAGGCTGAGGCAGGAGAATCGCTTGAACCTGGGAGGTGGAGGTTGCCGTGAGCTGAGATCGCACCATTGCACTCCAGCCTGGGCAACAAGAGCGAAACTCTGTCTCATTTGAAAAAAAAAAAAATTAATTAATTAATTAAATACAATGTAAGAGGGGACTTGACACAGTGGCTCATGCCTGCAATTCCAGAATTTTGGAAGGCCAGGGTGGGAGGCCAGGAGTTCAATACTAGCCTGGGCAACATGGTGAAACTCCCTCTCTACAAAAAATACAAAAATTAAAAAAAAAAAAATAGCCGTTGAGTGGGGGAGGTGAGGTAGAGGAATGCTTAAGCCCAGGAGGCAGAGGTGGCAGTGAGCCAAGATGGCACCACCACTCCAGTCTGGGAGACAGAGTGAGACCTGTCTCACCAAAAAAAAAAAAAAAAAAAAAAAAAAAAAAATAGCAAGGGGCTCAGCAGAGTGGCTCACACCTCTAATCCCAGCACTTTGGCAAGGCAAGAGGACTGCTTGAGGCCAGGAGTTCCTAACCATCCTGGACAACACAGTGAGACCCCGTCTCTAGCAATATATAAATTAATTAAGAGGGGAGGAAACATGGAATAAAAAAGGTATTCCAAGTGTCCACTCAGGCAGGAAGCAGGAAGAAGTCTCCTCTATCCTTTCCAAATCCCTTTCACCTTGCAGGAGCCAGGTTCCTTGACTTTGTTCTGACTGCCCTCTCCCCTATGTTACCTTATCAACAATCTTTCTCAGGGCCTTGAGGGTAGCATTACTTTCCAGGGTGAGTTTGACTAAGTTCTTCTGGGATGCTGCTCGGGCCTGCGTCCTTTGGGCCTTAAGTTTTCGCAGTTGTATGAGCACCAATTCCTTGTCATTACGGATGTACCGGTTCTCATCTTCACTCTCTCGGCTATGTATCATGATCTTGCCTTTTGAAATAGTTATGGCATCCTAGAGGAACAGAGTAGATTAGGGGAAACACTTGAACTGAGGGTCTTCAGTGAGACAGGTGAAAGGGCTGCTTGGGGACTGAAATCAGAGCATGTCATGTTTTCCTAACCAGTGATCAGTGTTGAGGCCCACAGGAACAAGGGGAAGAGGAACAGGGGATAACAGAGCAGTTCAAGCAGTACTTCCAGGTGGCTACACTAACCTGTAGCTTCTGTATTTTTTTCATCTGTACTTCAATCTCTTTGGAGTTTTTCTCATCCTTCACCTGCAGGGTCTCAAAGGCAACCTTTCGATCCTCTGTGGAATCAGTGTAATTCTTGAGTACATCCTGGAACTTCCTCCACAGATCTTCTACTGTGTTCTCCAGTTGCAGTCTTAAAAAGTGCTTCTCTTCTAAATTCTAGGAAGTGACCCCAAAATAGCAAATGTTTGGAATTAGCCTATTAGTGCCCTTTCACTTCCACCAGCAACCTCACCCTCTTGAACTGTTTGTAGCATAGTTTAGTACAGAGGTCGCCAATGAAAATGCCTACAAAAGACGAGGCAGCTGATATAAATAAGTTTTTTGGGCTGGGTGGGGCCTGCGGTGAACTGGAGAGGAAGTGCTCCATCTGGGAGGAGGAGGGGCAGTCACTGAGCTCTATGTGAGCCTTGCCATTTGGAAATGTGGCCCAGTGTTGCCAGATCTTTAAATTTTTCAAGGGAAGTTGAAAATTTAGATGTTTTTGTTAAATCTCCAATTTTTAAGTGTAGGATGCTTATTCAAAAAATTTTATAAAACACTGTGGGGTAAATAAAAACAAAGACCCCCAATACCCAAACCGAGGTCTGGCTAGTGGACCTCCACGACAGTGGAAAGGACTTTGGGTCAAGGGGCAGGAGACCTAGATTCTCCTTCTGATTCTACCACAAACCAGCAGCATGACTTTGGCAGATCATTTTACTTATCTTGACCTTACTTTCTTCATCTGCAAATCACAGGGGTGAAGCCAGATGATCTCCTTGGTGCTTTTTAGCTCTAAAATGCATTCCCTTGACATTTAGAATGGTCTTCCCTCCTAACCAATTTTCACAAACTTACAAAAAGCAGTAGGGATACGTACAGTGGGAATAGATCTTTTACTGACTGTTGGCTGAAGGTGCCTCTTCTACCTCTAGTAGCCTTGAGCATTTTTTGTTCTTTTTTTTTTTTTTTTTTTTTTTTTTTTGAGACAGGGCCTCGTTCTGTCACCGAGGCTGGAGAGCAGTGTTGCTATCACAGTTCACTGCAGCCTCAATCTTCTGGGCTCAAGCAGTCCTCCTACCTCAGTCTCCCAAGTAGCTGGGACCACAGGCACACACTACCATGCCTGGCTATTTTCTTTTTTGGTAGAGACGGGGTCTCCCTATGTTGCCCAGGCTGGTCTTGAACTCCCAGTCTCAAGTGATCCTGCTGCCTCAGCCTCCCAAGTTGCTGGGATTATAGGTGTGAGGCCACTGTGCCCAGCCTCCTTGAGCATTTTTCTATCACCTCCTCCCAGTTCTTGCCCATCTGCTCTCCCTCTGTACCATGTTTTTGAGATCATTCCACATGCTCTGGAACTCCAGCTTGCTTTCATACTCAGAATCCAAATAGTTCTGCTCCATGGCCATGAAGATATCTTGTAGGTAGCGAATCTCTTTCTCATGTTGGTCAATAATCGTCTTCCTGTAAGAGACAAGACACTGTCCCTGCTCTAAGGGATACAGGATATGGACCAATAATGACAATTCAAAGCAGTATGTAATAAATCTATGTGAATGGTACAAACTCTTAGGTACTGATGGAGAACAGAGAGAGGGAAGGCCCTATTCTTTTCAGGGCTAGATAGAATAAGGCTGTTTTATTTTGATTTCTGAATGGGTAATACATTCATGTGATACAAAAAAAGTATAAAAGGTTACAGTGAGAAGTTTCCTTCCTATCCCTGTTCCCTGTCAAATGGGTAGGATTTTGATAATTCAAAGTGGGTAGTTGGTAAAAGGAATTTGAGGAGTTAAATTTAAAAATTAAAAAAAAGAGTTATTAAAAAAAAGTAAAGCAATAAATTAGCCAGGCATGGTGGTATGCACTTATAGTCCCAGCTACTGAGGAGGCTGAGGCAGGAGAATTGCTTGAACCCGGGAGGCAGAGGTTGCAGTGAGCTGCGATCGCACCACTGCACTCCAGCCTAGACAACAGAGTGAGACTTCATCTCAAAAAAACAAAACAAACCAAAAAAAACAACAATAAAGAAAAAAATAGTGACAGAAAAAAAAAAAAGAAGAAAGTGGGTGATGAAGGCACACAAACAGGGCCCTGAGGTGGGTAAAGGGATGTAGGGCTGCAAGCTTAAGCCAGCCAGAGTTTGTTTAAAAGGAACCAAGATATTCTCTGCTGGGGGTCCTGTGATAATCAACATGGGATGTTCCAAGATACTAGTCACTTGCTTACAGGCATCTCCTTGACACAGACTCTGGGCACTCCCCTGGATTCAATTCCCCATCTTCTCTTAGGCCCCCATACCTTTCTGTCTCAAATTCCTTGGTTAGGGCTTCCAGCTCCATGTTGTAACTTTCCTCCAGGAGACTGAGCCGGCGCCTCTGCAGGGCCAAGAGTTGGTCAACATTGTGCAAGTGGCTGCGCAGGGCACGGGCGTACTGCTCCTCGGCTTCAGACAGGTCTTTAGCTAAAGACTAGGTCAGAAAGAGAGTTACCATTCCAGCTGAATGGCATCTGTGTGAGAAAATAAAAATGTATTCAGCTGGCAGTTTTTCCTTAGTTCCTAATGCCAATTCTTTGGCTTTAGGAGTGCTGGCTGTCCTCCTCACTCTTGTGTAAAGCAAGAGTGATGGCAAGGACGGGGCAAGGTGGCTCATGTCTGTAATCCCAATACTTTGGGAAGCCAAGGTGGGAGGATCACTTGAGCCTGGGAGCTCAAGACTAGCCTGGGCAAAATAGTGAGACCCACATCTCTACAACAACAACAAAAACCATAAAAATTAGCCAGGTATAGTCCCAGCTACTCACAAGACCTGGGCAGGAGGATTGCTTGACCCCAGGAGTTCAAGGTTGCAGTGAGCTGTGATCATACCACTGCACTCCAGCCTGGGTGACAGAACAAGACCCTGTCTCAAAAAAAAAAAAAAAAAAGGGGTGGGGGGGAGGGGGACTGGGCACGGTGGCTCATGCCTGCAATCCCAGTACTTTGGGAGGCCGAGGCAGGCGGATCACAAGGTCAGGAGTTCAAGACCAGGCTGACCAACATGGTAAAACCCCGTCTCCACTAAAAATACAAAAATTAGCCAGGTGTGGTGGTGCGTGCCTATAATCTAGCTACTCAGGAGGCTTAGGCAGGAGAATCACTTGAACCTGGGAGGCGGAGGTTGCAGTGAGCTGGGATTGTGCCACTGCACTCCAGCCTGTGTGACAGAGTAAGAATCCATCTCAACAACAACAACAAAAAAGTGAGAGCAAGGAGCCCCCCGAAGCCAGCCAGTGTCCTGTGGACAACTAACATTTACATTGATGGAGCTACCACTGAAAGACTGAAAGGAATCAGGGATTCTTGGAGAAATGGGTCTGATGCAGAATATAAGTTGAACCTGGGCATCTTTTTTTTTTTTTGAGATGGAGTCTCACTCTGTCACCAGCCTGGAGTGCAATGGTGCAATCCCAGCTCACCGCAACCTCTACCTCCTGGGTTCAAGTGATTCTCCTGCCTCAGCCTCTCGAGTAGCTGGGACTCCAGGTTTGTGCCACCACGCCCAGCTAATTTTTTGTATTTTTAGTAGAGACAGGGTTTCATCATGTTGGTCAGGATGGTCTCAATCTATTGACCTCATGATCTGCCTGCCTCAGCCTCCCAAAGTGCTGGGATTACAGGCATGAGCCACCACACCAGGCTGAACCTGGGGTTTCTTATCATACAAGATAGCAAAGAAACTATCACAGACCAAAAGGGGGCTGGGCACAATGGCTCACGCCTGTAATCCCAGCATTTTGGGAGGCTGGGGCGGGCGGATCACGAGGTCAGGAGTTCAAGATTAGCCTGGCCAACATAGTGAAACCCCATTTCTACTAAAAACACAAAAATTAGCTGGGTGTTATGGTGAGCCAAGATCATGCCACTGCTCTCCAGCCTGGGCAACAGAGACTGTCTCAAAAACAAACAAACAAACAAAGGGTCATACCAGAAGGACCCAGGAACCAACATGAAGTGACTCACTGAGGCAGATTTTCCAAAGGAAAAACACAGCAATACCTCCTCTCCTACAATTCTCTGCTATGTGACCTTGCCACTCCCCTATCAAAAAATGGTGTCTCTTCTTCCAGTTCCTTGAATTTGGACAGACCCTATTACTACATGGGTTAATAGAATATGGTGGAAGTGACACTATACCAGTCCCAGGCATAACCTTTGGGTGGCCTGCCAGTTTCTGCCTCCCGCCCCTTAGAATGCTTATTCTTAGGATGGTCCCTCCAGGATCCTAACAGTCATGCTGTGAGAAGCCAAATGTGCATAAATTTTTTTTTTTTTTTAGATGGAGTCCTGTTCTGTCACCCAGGCTGGAGTGCAGTGGCGAGATGTCGGCTCACTGCAACCTCTGCTTCCTGGGTTCGGGAGATTCTCCTGCTTCAGCCTCCCAGAGTAGATTACAGGTGTGCACCACCACATCTGACTAATTTTTGTATTTTTTAGTAGAGATGGGGTTTCACCATGTTGGTCAGGCTGGTCCCGAACTCCTGACCTCATGATCCGCCCACCTCGGCCTTCCAAAGTGTTGGGATTACAGATGTGAGCCACCACACCCGGCCCAAAAATTTTTTTTAAATCAGTTATCACTGGAGGATGCCAGACAACCAGTTTTTAAAAACTGGTAAATAATCAAGAAAGAGAAAGAATCAAGCTTTTATCCTGCCTTTCCTATATAAACTATAGCTCTGAGTAATTGAATAGAAAATGAGAGGACGTATCTCTTTTCAGAAATACTCAAGCTAATGAACAAAAAGTGAATGATACTATTAGAAAATCAGGCATGGTACACTGGCTCATACCTGTAATTCCAGATCTTTGGGAGGCCGAGGCAGGAGGATCATTTGAAGCCAGGGTTTGAGGCTAAGAGTTTGAGACTAACCTAGGCAACAGAGTAGGGCTCCCATCTCTATTTCTTTTTCTTTTTTTTTTTTTTCCTTACTGGATTATGCATCCAGACGCCATCTCTGTTTTTTTGTCTTCTTTTTTTTTAAGGTGTGCACTTTATTCAACTGGTCTCAAGTCAGTGTACAGGTAAGCCCTGGCTGCCTCCACCCACTCCAAGGGAGACCAAAAGCCTTCATACATCTCAAGTTGAGGGACAAAAAAAGGAGTAGCCACAGAGGCTAAAATCTTTCAAAATAAAACAAAATTTAAAAAGTATTAAGGCAAAATTTAAAAAACTTCCATTACATAATTTACAACAAAAGCAATGCTGTTACCTCCCCTGTGTGGACTTGGGAGAGGACTGGGCCGTTCTCCTTAGAGAGAAGTGGGGTGGCTTTTGGGAGGGCAAGGGACTTCCTGTAACAATACATCTCACAATATTTAGAATGACTTAAAAAAAACAATGTACACAGTCAAGTCCTGGGACACATTGTAGAACTTTGGGGGATGCTTGCTCCAACCGACTGCTGTCACCTTCACCGTTCCAGTTTTTAAATCCTGAGTCAAGCAAAAAAAAAAAACCAAAACGAAACAAAAAAACAAATAAAGCCATGCCAATCTCATCTTGTTTTCTGCGCAAGTTAGGTTTTGTCAAAAAAGGGTGTAACGCAACTAAGTCACCTAGAAGCATTTGCGGTGGACAGTGGAGGGGCCGGACTCGTCGTACTCCTGTTGCTGATCCACATCTGCTGGAAGGTGGACAGCAAGGCCAGGATGGAGCCACCGATCCACATGGAGTACTTGTGCTCGGGAGGATCAATGATCTTGATCTTCATCGTGCTGGGTGCCAGGGCAGTGATCTCCTTCTGCATCCTGTCAGCGATGCCAGGGTACATGGTGGTACCGCCAGACAGCACTGTGTTGGCATACAGGTCTTTGCAGATGTCCATGTCACATTTCATGATGGAGGTAAAGGTAGTTTTGTGGATGCCACAAGATTCCATGCCCAGGAAAGAAGGCTGGAAGAGTGCCTCAGGGCAGCGGAACCGCTCGTTGCCGATGGTGATGACCTGACCATTGGGCAGCTCATAGCTCTTCTCCAGGGAGGAGCTGGAGGCTGCCATGGCCATCTCCTGCTCCAAGTCTAGGGTGACATAGCACAGCTTCTCCTTGATGTCACTCGTGATTTCCCGCTCTGCTGTGGCGGTGAAGCTGTAGGCACGCTCGGTGAGGATCTTCATGAGGTAGTTAGTCAGGTCCCGGCCAGCCAGGTCCAGACACAGGATGACGTGGGGGAGGGCATACCCCTCACAGATGGACACAGTGTGGGTGACCCTGTCACTGGAGTCCATCACGATGCCAGTGGTACAGCCAGAGGCGTACAAGGAAAGCACGTCCTGGATGGCCACATACATGGCTGGGGTGTTGAAGGTCTCAAAACATGATCTGGGTCATCTTCTCACGGTTGGCCTTGGGGTTCAAGGGGGCCTCAGTAAGCAGCATGGAGTGCTCCTCAGGAGCCACATGCAGCTCGTTGTAGAAATTGTGGTGGCAGATCTTCTCCATGTTGTCCCAGTTGATGACAATGCCATGCTTGATGGGGTACTTCAGGGTCAGGATGCCTCTCTTGCTCTGGGCCTCATCACCCACGTAGGAGTCCTTCCGACCCATGCCTACCATCACGCCCTGGTGCCTGGGGCACCCCACGATGGCGGGGAAGACTGCCCGGGGAGCATCATCGCCCGAGAAGCTGGCCTTGCACATGCCGGAGCCGTTGTCAACAACAAGTGCAGTGATATCATCATCCATGGTGAGCTGGTGGCCGGTGTGGATGGGCCACGGAACAGCAAGGGCGAGCCTCTGTGCTCGAGGGGCAGACACGGTCTCGGTGGTCTTTTTTTTTTTTTTTTAATTTTTTTTTTCTTTTTTTTAAGGGGAGGGGAGGGGAGGAGAAGGAGGGGATGGGCTTTTGTCTTTTGAGTCAAGGTCTTACTCTGTCACCCAGGCTGAGGTCAAATGGCATGATCACAGCTCACTGCAGCCTCAACCTCCCAGGCTCAATTGATCTTCCACCTCAGCCTCCCAAATAGTTGGGACTACAGGCACACACCACCATGCCCAGCTAATTTTCAAGTTTTTTTGTAGGGGTTTCACTATGTTGCCCAGGCTGGTCTTGACCTCCTGGGCTCAAACGATCTGCCAGCCTCAGCCTCCCAAAGTGTTGGGATTACAAGCATGAACCACTGTGCCTGGTCCCATCTCTACTTCTAAAATAAAATGTAAACATTTTAAAAGTAAGAATTTTTGGGCCGGGCGCGGTGGCTCAAGCCTGTAATCCCAGCACTGTGGGAGGCCGAGGCGGGTGGATCACGAGGTCAAGAGATCGAGACCATCCCGGTCAACATGGTGAAACCCCGTCTCTACTAAAAATACAAAAAAATTAACTGGGCATGGTGGCGCGTGCCTGTAATCCCAGCAACTCAGGAGGCTGAGGCAGGAGAATTGCCTGAACCCGGGAGGCGGAGGTTGCGGTGAGCCGAGATCGTGCCATTG